TCACATATTCCTGCTGTGTTAAGGAAGCCACCAAAATTACAAGCACCTCATCAACCTGGCCAAACTGTAGTTAATTTAATTATGCTGTGCTGAATAAACCACAGTGTCTAGGTAATGGCTTACTGTGACTGTGGAACCCTGAATTACAGACATGACCTACAATGTCTGTTTCAATGCTACATTCTGAGAATTTCTGAGTGACTTATGAAAGAAAATAACCACTTCTCAAGTTTTATTATATTAGCAGTGCCTCAATTTTTAAATCCATTCTCATGAAGCCATCATTACAACAAATCCCACATGGAATAAATGCTGTTTGATCAATAGGTTCACTTTTGTATACTTTTATAAAGTTAACAGTATAGTTATATGCATTTGTGTTATATATGTTAATATATAGAGCTGTATCTTACAAAAATTAAGTAACTATGCACAAGAGTATAGAATCACTAGCTTGACGCCCGTGCTTCGCTACGAAACTGTGTGCTCAGGGTTGATAAATTGACACTTATAGCTTGAAACTTAATGTAGAATGTGTAACTCCGTAGCAACAGAGTGTGTTAATATAATGCAACTGGCAGTTGGAACAGAGGGGGAAGGAGAGTAGAATGTCCCAGCCCGCAGGCCAGATGAGTCACGTGCTGGCCATGCCTGGTTTAGTGAAGGGATAGCATCAGAGCGTGTTAATATAAGGCAACTGGCAGTTGGGACATAGTTCCTTTCAGGTTGGGAGGGGGGAGTAGAATGTCTAGCTCCATAGCATCACAGCGTGTTAATATAATACTGTATATGAAATACTAATGATCTGATGGTCATTTCAAAATATCCTTTCTTAAAAATCTGCCTTTGTCTACCAGCATCCATGGGTATTCATCTGGCTAGTATCCTGTCAGTGTGTGAGAGAGTTGAGGGGTGTTTGGAAACTCAAACAATATTTGCTGTGTGAGCAAGAAGGAGACAGGAAGGAGGCTGGGCATGGCTTAGCTAAACTGTTCTGTAGTAAAGCTGCTTGCTGCTGTGAAAGTAAAACAAAGTGAAACTTCTCTCCTCTGCTTGTGTTTTGCATTTGGAACAGATTTATTTTGAGGTGGGGAGGGGGAGTAGAACTTTTTAGCATCAGAGGGCTGTTTGGAAAGTGAAACAGTATTTGCTGTGTGAGCAAGAAGGAGACAGGAAGGAGTCTGGCCGTGGCTGAGCTTAACTGTTCTGTAGTAAAGCTGCTTGCTGCTGTGAAAGTAAAAGGGAAAGTGAAACTCCTCTCCTCTGCTTGTGTTCTTTATTTGAAACAGATTTTTTTTCAGATTGGGAGGGGAGTAGAATTTCTTAGCATCAGAGCATGTTAATAATAATGTAGGAAATACTAATGCTCTGATGGTCATTTTGAGAAATCCTTTCTTAGTGAGCACCCAGAAGCCAAGAGGAACATACGTGGCAAATTTCAAGTTTGTAGGCTTTACGGTTCTGGAGATTTTGTGATTATGGTGTGAGTGGTTTTCGCTTTTATATATATAGTTTCCCCCGGGAATTACTATTATTAGTTAATATCTTTCTAAATAAATATTTTAGGGTTGTAATATGAAGCATCTAATGCTTCGAAATGTTGAGATTTACTCTCCCCAAGAATGTGAGTTAGAGTATTTCAATAACTGTTAGGCATTTTTGTAATTTTTGAACTGTCCCATGAAATATAAGGGAATATATAAAATTAATAAAGTATAAGGCATAATATGGCTGAAGTTAAGAACTTTTAAGTCTCATTGATTAAAGTGGAACAGGTAAAAAGCAAAGGCTTGTGTTTTTCAACACATTGATATCTGCAGGTTTAAATTCTTTTTCATGGATTTTGAAAGAAAATTCATATATTAAAATATGTAGATGTTGACATTTCAATACCCAGATTCACTCTTTTAGTGTGTAAATGGATGTGTTGGCTTCAAAACTGCAAAGGTAATTGTTGAAAATATAGATTAAATCTTTATGCAATATTAACTTCTTCACACACAAACAAACATCTCTACTGGGTAAATAATTAATCAAATAGCTGCAGTTAATATTCTGTTACATATATTTCTCACACTTAAGTTCCCAGTAATTTCCTGTCCAAATTGTTGATGAGAACTTCCCCTTACAATGTTAGTAACATCTTGTGATCTCTCAGTAGATAATGATTCTATTTTTAATATTGCTTTAATTAACATTATCATGATTACATAATAACATTGTCATTATTATGAGTTATTATCTCACAATAATGGAATCCAAGACAAAATCTAGTTAGCCCTGTTTATAGGGCTATTCTAGATTTTAATACCTCTTTGATACATTTTGATGTCAATATGTAAACAAGCCAGAAAACTTTGAACATAATGTATATAGCACTAAAACTCTTGTATCTATCATTTTAACTAGGGAAAACAGTGCATAATAGGGCAACAATTTTTGAACCAAAGTATCTCAAATGGGCTAATTTACAGAATGCAAACAAAATCCAGGTTCCATACGCCAGAGGGAATAAAGTTTGGGGAAATTACCGTACATTTGATTGATGAATATAAAAAAATAAAGTGGTAGCGACTTCAACTCTCCTGAGCTGCAGCTGCAGTTACGTGATGCTCAGTTTGATTGTTCTGTGACAGTTTCCCAGCCACTCTTGCAATCCCTTGCTCCCTCCATCCAGCAGAAGCCAGTTACCTGCTTGCTAGGAAGGGAAGGGAAATACCTTCATTATCTCCCAAGGTACTGTAAAGGTAGTCAATGTTCTGCTTTAATTTTTTTTAAAGAAATAGTAACTATTATAAATTATAAAACAAGGTATATGCTTCTAGACGTCCACAACATAATTTCAGAGAAACATGTTTAGAATAGAATTTCCTCCAGAATTTGGTGACTTCCAAATATGTTGGACTCCTTCAGAACTTAGCATCTATTATGCAATAATATTAAAAGGGATGTTGAAGCTGGCACTTGCTCGCATTCAAACTGTACCCCTGCAAATTGTCAACATGTGCTTATTGTGTATGCCTAGAATCTGCATGACCACAGATGCATATGCTCTCAAACTGATGAGATGCTTCTTACAGCATATTGAGAATAAATCAGCATCTAAAAGTAAATCTACCATGAAGCACAGCTGGAGTACCACCATGGAGATTAAGAAGCAGTTGGCATTTCTTCTGGGTGAAATCCAAAACTGCCCTGAGGATTAGATCACGTCTGCAGATATATTGAATGGATTGTGCAGAAAGATATGATGAAATGTTACATGCTGTATAAATAAAGCACTTAATATTTCCTCGCTGGTTTGCTCTTTTGATCAGTGCTACTCTTTTGCACCATTAGTGTCCTGCAAAAGAAAACCAACAACAACCATCCTCTCTATTATAAGATTTGTAATTGTTATTAATTCATCATTGGAAATGATTTGCGTTCATTGAATAAAGAGCATTCTGGAGTCTTGGTTTAGAGGTCAGTTAGCTTATGGCACTTGAAAGGGGCAGTGCACCCATGACGCTCTTAGAGAAAGGATTACAGAAGAAATCAGAAATTGGCAACGTTCTCTGTGATGTTCACTGTTCTCATATGAGCTCTAGCAGGACTTGATTAGTATTTATTTATTTATTTATTTATTTATTTATTTATTTATTTATTTATTTAATGGGACTTGTATGCCGCCCTATCTCCACAGGACTCAGGGTGGCTCACAACAATTAAAACAGAACAAACAAACCATTAAAACAGAAGTCCAAGTTAAAATTAAGAAATTCAATAAAATGCGGTGGCGGAGTGGCTTAATGATGCTGGAAATAGCAGCCAGAAATGGTCTGTACTCCAGCAGTTTGAGTCCAGCTCTGCAAGATGGAGTGAGCACCCGTTGCTTGTTTCCTGGCTCCTGCCCACTCAACAGTTTGAAAGCATATTGCGAGTAGATAAATGGGTACCACTTCGGTGGGAAAACCCTAGCTGCATTTGCGTGTGCAAGAGAGCGGAAGCCAGTGCTGGACCTGGCCCAGACAAGGCAAGACGAGACCGGCAGAGGAACTGAGAGGAGCCAGCAACCTGATCACCACTAGTGGTATAAAGCTGATGTAAAACTAGTTTGCTCCCTGTGGTGCAGCAAGGACAGGCGTGCAAATGCCAAACAAAATGAACTAGCAATTAGGTTATCAGGACTGCACAGAAATCTGGCTTTTGTAGATTTCCCTGTAGGCCGTACATTAAATAAATAAATAAAGGACTTGATTGCTAAAGTTTGATAAACAATTATTGTCTCTTGAAATTTGGAATTATTTTTCCATGGAGGAAATTACACTTGAGCTATCAAATATGAGATTGCCCAGTGTTTGAAGACTGTTCATCACTAGCCAGAAGGATCTGTCTCTTCCTATGGATGCATCGGAAGTTTTATAAATTCTAACACAGCCTTATGAAAATTTATTGAATGAAAGAGTCTACGGAATGTGAAATATGCATTTGGCCTAATGCCAGTTAAACAGATTTCTCAGAATCTAATTTAAAAAGAAAAGAGTAAAAAGCATACTCAGTGTACATAGGCTGCAGCTTATGTTTATTAAAAAATACATAATGAATTGGAAAGGATGTGTTTTATACTTTAAAAAATGCAATCAGAAACAGATTTTTCTGTTAGTAAGCTCTATTGAATGGAATTAAATTAACTATTAAGGGAACATGTCTAGGAATGTGCAGTTCATAATCCCATGCATTTTCTCTATGTGAAACCATTTGACCTGTGCAATGTATTTCCAGCACCATGGACAGCAAACTGGACCTAATAACATCATCATTTAAATGCTGTGATTATGAACTTGAATCTGCATTTCTGATTTGCATACCGAAGTCACAGCATTTGCACAATGATGTTGTCATTACACACGTTTCATTGTTGGCCCGCTCTGCAAATGCTCCCCATATTTTTTCTGCCTTCCTCCATCTGCAAGTGAAACTGGTTTTTCCAACTTAGCTCTTGGTCTTCTTTTATCTAGACATTTCCTGTTTAAACATGGATCTGGATCTTCAGCCATCTTCAGTGCTGCCAGTCAGAACTATCCGCTGACTTCTAACACAGTTTACTCACCGCCTCCCAGACCGCTTCCTAGAACGACTTTTTCACGACCGGCTTTTGCTTTCAACAAGCCTTATAGATGTTGCAACTGGAAGTGCACCGCCTTGAGTGCTACAGCAATCACAGTCACACTGGCCTTGTTGCTTGCTTATGTTATTGGTAAGTCCTGTTTAGCTTTATTGTATCTCTCATTCCCACTCCTGTTGATGAGATTTTGGAGGAAGAATTAGATGCTTAGCTCATTATTCAGAAGCAAATCTTATCAGCCATGGTGGCGCAGTGGTTAGAATGTAGTACTGCAAGCTACTTTCTGCTGACTGCCGGCTGCCTGCAATTTGGCAGTTAAAATCTCACCAGGCTCAAGGTTGACTCAGCCTTCCATCCTTCCGAGGTGGGTAAAATGAGGACCCAAATTTTGGGGGGCAATATGCTGACTCTGTAAACCACTTAGAGAGGGCTGTAAAGCGGTATATAAGTGCTATTGCTATTGCTATCAATAATTGATAATGCAGTTGTGATGTTTTTCTTGCACTTATTGTTCCTTTTGCTTTAATAAGTGTTACCGAGCTGTTTGTGTACTGATATGAATGTTATGTCCATAATGGCATGTGGCTTTAGAAAACAGGTCAAAGAGATACTGCCAGTGGGATGGTCAGATAAAAGTAGTGGTGAAATGTAAAATTTGTTACTACCGGTTCTGTGGGTGTGGCTTGGGGGGGTAATGTTACTGGGTGGGCATGGCCTTTTTTTTTTTTTTTTTTTTTACTTTTAAAAGCATTTCTTCTACAAGCTCTTAGGCCGAAAAAGTTGTAGAAAAAATGCTGACGATCCCAGCTGAGCCACGCGATCATCAGAGGCTTTTTTTTTTACTTTTGAAAGCATTTTTTCGGCCGAAGAAAAAATGCTTTTAAAAGTAAAAAAATAAGCCTCTGATGATCGCGCGGCTCAGCTGGGCATGGGGGGGGAGCAGGGATTTTTGCTACCGGTTCTCTGAACCACCTGCCGCCATCGCTACCAGATTGGGCGATCTGGTCCAAACTGGGAGCATTTCACCCCTGGATAAAAGTCAATTTAACCCACATCAGAAATGTGGACAGAGGAAGAAGCTCAGGGAACACCCTCCCTAGTTTCTTGGGATGTGTAGAGGATAGGCGAAAGATATACAGGTAGTCCTCAACTTACAACAATTCATTTTATGACCATTTGAATTTACAACAGCACTGAAAAAAGTGACTTATGACCATTTTTCACACTTATGACCATGGCAGCATCCCCATGGTCATGTTATTTACATTTGGATGCTTGACAACCAGCAATACTTACGACAGTTGCAGTGTCCTGGAGTCACATGTGCAACCTTCTGACAAGCAAAGTCAATGGGAAATCCAGATTCACTTAACAACCATGTTACTAATTTAACAACTTCAGTGATTCATTTAACAAATGCGGCAAGAAAAGTCATAAAATGGGGGCAAAACTCAATAACATAAATGTTGGACTCAATTGTGGTCGTAAGTTGAGGACTACCTATACTTGCAGACTTGCAAGACTCATGTTAACTTTGTGAGATAGGCCAGAGAGGAGACTTAGCTTAATGAGCTAATTATAATTCGTGTAAAGTTGTAAGGTTTCAATAACAGAATCTTGTATTTCAGAAAGAACATTTTCTCCCATCTCTTTTACAGGAAGATTCAGCATCTGTTCGATTATAACCAGTTTAACATTCAATGACCTGGTAGATTTATTTTATTTTATTTTTAAAGGATAGGGTCTACAACCAAGGACCAATCAATAAAATAAATACAAGGGCAGGGAAAAGTGATGATCTAAACACATGTCAGATAAAATACAGGCTTATATGTTGCAATTAGCATTATTGTTCTTTCTTCATTTTATTGATCCAATTTCCACTGACTCCAAGAACCTTTGTAGGATACAAAAGTTTACACTAACAAGTAAGCAAAATCAATCCAAAATGTAACTTCTCTTTATGCAGAGAGTATTCAAGAGTTCAAAGAACATGTAATATCTACATATACTTTCAAGAGCCTTCTCTAACACCACAATTCAAAACAACCTCAATTGAAGGGGAATTGAGAGTGAACATGCTTGTCTTGAATTATCAAGACTATTGAGAGTGCCTTGGACCACAAGGAGATCCAACCTGTCAATCCTAAAGGGAATCAACACAGAGTCTCCTTTGGAAGGTCAGATATTGAAGATGAAACTCAAATACTTTGGCCACTTAAGGAGAAGAGAGGATTCCTTGGAGAAGAGAGATGTTGGAGAAGATGGAAGGCAAAAGGAGAAGAGGATGGCAGAAGATGAGATGATTAGATAGTGTCATCAGTGTGAGGGTTCCAACGGATGCCCTAATTAAATCTTGAGTCTTGAGCCAAGCTTCAAAAGAAATCCAGATATTTATTAGGAGCTTCATGTCGGCAGGTTCCCAAATGAAGCCAGCTCTGCCCTATGTAATTTACGCTCCAATTATGACCTTGTTTCCCCCCTCCCCCCAGAGTGTGTCATCAATCACATTTGCCAACAGAGAAATTTTGTGGGTTGTAGAGGTCACTCCCCTCGCTACTGTAAGTAACCCTGGGATACAGCCTTGAGAGAGATAAGCATAGAATGTTATGCTATGGTCCATGGGGTCAGACATGACTTAGCAACTGAATAACAAAAGCAACACTTATCTCGACAACCTTCATGAACAGATGGGAAGCTATAGAAGTCAATTCACACACTTCTGAATCCTAAACATTTATTAAGAATGGCAGTGAGAACGTGAAAGGAAAGATAGGACTGAAGACCGTTCACTCATCTTCATTCCATGTGTTTGAAAAGGTCAAAGGCACATTGATTATCTGAAGAATAATCCATTCCCTGAATTATTTTTAATGACCTTCCATTGGATGCTACAAAATCCAATCGGCCTGGTGGCTTAGCAGACTAATAGCATTGTGATTAAGGCCAGCTGTCTGCAATTACTGTAAGCGAATCTCACCAAGCTCAAGGTTGACTCAGCCTTCCATCCTTTCTAAGGTAGGTAAATTGAGGACCCAGTTTGTGGGGGCAATAAGCTGACTTTGTATAAATATACAAAAGTATAAAGGCTATTGCTTAATGCATTGTAAGCCGCCCTGAGTCTCCGGAGAAGGGCGGCATATAAATCAAATTTAAAAAAAAATAGCCATCGCCTTACAGGGCAAAATTCCAATTAAGGTCCAATTTACTAAAATACTTTGGGCATCATAAAGAAACTATAGCCAACTTTTTATTGGTTTCAGAAATCTCTAGGTAGCAAAAGATTTTCTTGCAAAAAAAAAAAAAAAGACAATACAGAACTTGGCAGACACCAAACAAGTGATTTTTTTTTTTAAAAAAAGAAGTCATTTCAATCTGCCAATTATTTCCTGTCTGTTTCTCACTATTTTAATTAGGCTCCCATTGTAGCTATTATTAATAGCTTCGGTATTATCTTTATCTTGGTTTGTATGCTTTAAAAGAAACTAGCCAAGATATAGTAGTTTTCAATATTAAATATTCCGCTTCCACCATCCAGAGAACAAATCCTCATTAACACAACTTGAAGCATTAGAGATGAAAGAGGGATGATGAAAAGGGAGTTGTGCTGTATGAGACATTTACTGTCACCACACCAAAGAATTTGTTTACTTAACTTTGATACACTTAACACTGATCCATTACTGTGTTTCCTTAGACGGTTTTAGATCTGTCTTTCCTGAGGTTGATCTCAAAATCAGCTGATAGGTTTGGAAAATAAAAAGGGTGCTATTTTGTCTATGTGATGTGACAAGGTTATTTATTTTATTGCGTAATTTATATCCTGTTCTTATTGAACAGATTGATAGAGGAGGGAATGTCACATAAACTAAGCAATGAAAGCAGAAGAAAGAACTATATAGCAAAATGATCCCTGGAAAGTACCTGAAGCTGGGTGGAAAAAAGAATCGTCACTATTTTAATTCATCCTTTAGAAATTAATAGTGACAATGAAACTAAAGAAGGTTATTTTCAGGTGCAAAAGGAGGATTTATTGCTTGCGTCTAGATACAAAAACCTAATCAGCTGATGAGCAACACTAAATAGGCACTAGATAAGGGTCAACAGAATTCAAGGGGGACTGGACTTGAATTGCTTGCAGCAATGTAATGATTCTAGGCTGAGTGCCCTCTTGACTCCTTCCCCCAGGCTCTTCCTCTGTTCATGAAGCGCTGTTCATTGCAAGACTACAGGTAGCAGCCATGGAGAAGGAGGGCACATCAGGATTATGCAGACAGGGTTTGATCCAGCTGAAAATCTTCTCAGCTCTATTTACATTGTCAAAGTTGCCTCCACTGGCATTGTTTCCCCCTCTTGATTGCAAGTTTGTGAATGATGTTCATTGAAGGTACAGCAGGGAGAAATAGTGAAACCTCCCATAATATTGTTATTCTCATAAAAGAAACCATTTGTCCTCTCCCCTCAAATCCAGACAGGCTCTTAAAAAGTATTTATGAAGCTTCAAGTGTCAGAATTAGAAAAAAAAACATGCAAGGGATGTCTGCAAATATTTTACAAATGAATCTTTTTGTTCAATTGGATTGCCAGGATGAAAAGAAGGCTAGCTAGTTAAGCCTTGGCATTCACAGAGTGGAATATTTTTTCTTTTGTTAGGCAGAGTGAAAGCCAAAGTTGTATATAAGTGATTAAAGTCAAATATTTAAGGATCAGTCAAAATGTGGCGTATAATCCCTACATATCCTTACATATAATTTAGTCCATTTGAATCTCATAACTGAGGATGGATTTCTTCAGCTGAAACCAATTTTTTTTTTATCCAAACTCTTCATAAAAGCGCTGAAGGGGGGAAAAAAACCCATTTGACATATTCACAGGCTTTTTTGCTCTGTATGGCTAACATCTCGTTTGATTAGAATGTTTGATCTAATCTGACGTTACTTCTCTATAGTTTAAATCCTTTTCATCTGTCTGCCTTGTAGCCGAAAGGAATTTATCTCTTTTGTGGAAATCTTTTAAATGATTTCACTCTCTGAATTTAACACCATCTTAAAAATCTGCCTTGGCTGATAGCAGCAATGCCTAGCTAGAGAAGGGAAATGCCATTTTACTAAAGCCTTTTGGTTAATCAAATA